CCCCCGCTCCCCCACCACCGGGCACTGCCGGCGCGCCGCCCCGGCCGCCGCTCCTGCACGCCGCACTCTGAGACCTCCCTCCTCCCGGCGTGTGCGGCAGGCGCACCGCGGTGTGCGCGGCGCTCCGGGCTCGGTGCTTGTGTTTGTGTCGTGCGTCTGCGCCCGTGCGAGCGCGAGCGCGTGCGTGTGTGCGTGCGTGCGTGTGCGTCGCGAGTGCTTCAGTGTGTGTGTGTGTGTGTGGTGCAGTGATATGGTGCAGTGGTGAAATGGTGCGGTGACGATGCCGGCCAGCGTGCTGACGGACATGCGCGGGAAACGCGACCGGGAGGCCCCCGCGCCCCACCACCTGGGCCCCCTCGGGGGCCTGGGTCCCGCGCTGGGGCCGGGAAACGTGGGCTGCGTCCTGGAGGACGACCTGGACGACGAGGACGAGGACTTCGACGAGCTGAAGGGGGCTTCGCCAGCCCTGGACGCCGTCAACAACGGCGGGCCCGCGGTGCCGACGTCGCAGGCGGCGCCGCCACCGGGTGGGCCCGTCGGGCCGGGCGGCCCAGGCGGACCCGGGGCGGGATTCTGGCTCGCGGCCGTCACGGCGGCCACCCTGGGGCCTGCGCACGGCCAGCACCCCATGGAGCACGCAATGGCACCCATGAACACGGAGACGGGCTTCATCAACAGCCAGCCGTCCATGGCCGAGTTCATGACGGCCTTGCCGCACCCCCACATGGACATGCAGGGCCCCGGCTCGCTCAGCCCGCAGCCAACCGGGCCGGGTGGTTACCCGCCCATGGGCGAGGGACACCCGGGCGTCAACGTTCCCGAGTACCCCTGGATGAAGGAGAAGAAGACGACTAGAAAGAGCAGTCAACAAGGTAGGGGAACGTTCGGGTTCACTGGTAAAACAAAGGTAGGAAACTTTTCCAATTCCAACCTTTAAAAGGCACTAAAGTAGAAAAGGCACTAAACATTTCGTTTTTTCTAAATATTTGACTGTCAAGCTATGCAATCATATTTTGATACTTAGAATCATATTCCTCATAAAATTCCGCGTCGAACGAGCTACTACATGATAGGGTTCTGATTCCAAATGATATAGATTAATTTCATTTTAAATTCTTCATTTCTTGCAGTAAATTTGCTTGCCGTTCAACGGAACCCCATCTCATTTATGCTCGTTCGATGCGGAATTTCGCGAGGAATCCGATGGTGCACAGTAAAATTCAAATACTTTACTGTGACAGGAGATATTTCAGAAAAAACACTTTGGTGCCCCTAAACTGCGTTTAGCGCCCCTGGAAAGGTAGGAATTCCTACCTTTGTTTTACCAGTGTTATTCTGCTCATTCTTGGACAAAGTCAACTGAGATATAAAAATCGGTTTTACTTTTGGCCGCATTTGCTACTGCACCTCAACCTCTGAAAAACTCCCGTCGTGGGTTCTGGAAACCAAACACTTTAAAGTTTTAACCATCATACAAGAGCTGGAAACGTTAAAATTAATCCGTCACCGCCGCGATTGTTTTTCCAAAAATAAATGTGCGCCAGAAAACGTTAGCGTAACAGGTATCTCAACTCAAAGCTGTTGCCGCAGCGGCTAGTGAAGACTAAAATAATACCGTATCGTATCGCTTCCACCGTCCATATCACCTGAACACATCCTGCACCGACTTTAGACGAATGTCTGCCGGCACACGGTCTCTAAAGGGGTATGAAAAGTGGCAGTTCGGCTAGTGTCCGATGTGCTTCGCCGGCAGGGGGTCGCCCGGCAGGGTCCCGGACTCCGTTGCCGCTGCGGGAGTCCGGGGTCTCCCAATTAAAAGTCAATGGCCGTCGACACGCGGGGTTAGCTCGGCGATTTGTCTCGAACAAATTGAAACGTTTGCATATCCAAGGGGTTTTTGGAAGCCGGGTCCAGACGTCTCGCATCACTCATTGGCCGTTATTCTCTGTTCGGCGGTGAACTATGAACCCTCTTCAGCCGGTGAAAAAAGATGCCGGATATGTAAGTTTCTACAAACATTAACAACAAAAATTACTTGTCAATAAGTGTTCCAAAGGTATAAAAGGTTACAATTGTGGCCATTGTATCTTTTTTCATCGGAACGGATAATTTCCATGTGTACTATCTTTTGAACGGGATGTTCGCTTTAAAAGTGCTAAATGTCTATCTTAATGTCTTCCGAACCGTTATACCAAAAGCCATTGTTCGGGAAATTACCTTCATTTTGGAAGAAGTATATATGTGGTGAAATTATGCCGTGATTCTTTCCTTAGCACGGCACGGACCAACTCCCGCGATTCACCGCAGAAAACGTGTAAAAATTTTCACTTGACTGTATATTTACTTATGACGCCATATAACACAACTCTATAAACTTAGGCGATAAAGTCAGAGAGAGAGAGAGAGAGAGAGAGAGAGAGAGAGAGAGAGAGAGAGTGGTGAAGGGAAGGACGCAAATGGGTCGTAAAAGTAAGAGAGTGAACGCAAACTGTTGTACTTCTGGCGGACGTGACTCGTAGTACTTGTGGCTTTGACGGCTGCTCACTCGCTGTGACAATTCGCACATCATATCGGGAGCAGTTCCACAGCAGTAAACCTGGCGTGCGAACATAGCAGAAGCGGCGGACAAATTCGCACGCGTAAATGTCTCACAAGTGGGAACGTTCATGATCACTTTTGGGCATTGTCTGGTGCATTCGTGTTTGCTTGGGGCCCTTGTTTTTGGTTTCATTTTTTGCGCAAGCTAGGAGCCCTGTGGCGGGCTACGTCTGTAACAACAGCTTGTCAGCGCCGCTTTTGCTCAAGTGTCCGACGGTTGCGTCACGTCCGCGTCACGACTGCAAGGGCAGCAGGGGCTCCTTACCCAAACCAGGGCACCGGGCACCAAGGGACCCACCAGTTTCAGTTCTGAGAGAAGAAAAGAGTCCAAACCACTTCTGAGGGAGGGAGCTTTTTATTTTCGATACTCCCCGTTACAATATTTTTATCTTGTTTGCTTGTGTGAAATAACATACACAAGAAAATAGCATCTATAAGTTATATAAAAATCGGATGTTACACATTGTTATTGTTGTTACATAAACCGTATACCGATGTTCCTCTAAAAATGTGTAGACCTCGTGGGAAGACTATATAAATTGATTGTTTTTAGACGATCCAGTCTATACCAGCAGGTTTGGCGCGCGGGGGAGCGGTGCGTTAGGGAGTCGTCCGCACTTCCCCCCGCCGGCCAACAATCACTACTGTGCGCTAGGCCACTCCCCATCCACGCGCTCCCAGCCCCACAAACAATATACACTCAACACTCCTCCAAGCCTGGCCTGAAGGTGGCCAGGGCGAGGGCGCAGGGCCACCGAGGCCTCGACTCCAACGACGAGCACCTCTGGTTGCCCGGTCTAGCGCTCGTCCAAAACGAGGGCGATCACCACGTCGCCACTCACTCGCCCAACAACTGCCTGGTGCCTGGTCTCGCAAGGGAACTCATAAGAAGTGTTAGTCCACCAATTTTGTTCCACCTTGGGGGTTTTGTGAGGGTCAGTGTCAGCAAAGACGGACGACCAACAACGCACAAGGCCGTGAATCTCAGAACAAAGAGTCGTAACTTCTCTTGTTCTAGAGAGCAATAACGTATTTAATTAGTAGAAATAATTTTGTATTAGATTTTCTTTTATTCGGATCGTCTATTTGTTAACACGCAGTGTTAACGTTTTTTACACTAACAGCTAGAGCGAATTGACGAATTTCTTTGATTCCCTTTATTCGACAAGCAAAACTTCAAAATTTTGTTGTTGAGTCTTTATCCGCAAAGCTTTCTTTTTATTTAAGTTTCGCAGGGAATGCGATTGTGGTGAATTTCACTTTTCTAGTTGATCGTTCTTTGTGGTAGTGTAGCGAGGTGGGCCGCCACGCTGCTGCACCGCCGCGGATTTCAAGTCGCCTGGGCGGTTCTTGACGGCCAGGTGACGGGCACCCGGCCCCCCTGGCAGGCGTACGGCAGGCACTGGGACTGGGCTGGCATGCTGGCTTGGAGTGCTAACTTCAGGGCGGTCAGATGAAAGAACGGATGCTGCGTCCGTCTATATAAGGGAGGGCATGTACGACGGCGTGGCCAGGGAGAGAGAGAGAGAGAGAGAGAGAGAGAGAGAGAGAGAGAGAGAGAGAGAGAGTGAGGGAGGGGAGAGAGAGAGAGGGGGGGGGGGGGCGATTGACTTTCTACCGACAAAGGTTGGAACAGCCATGGGACTTTGGAAGCCTTCGGGGGCTAGGTGGGCTTGGGGGAGGGGGGGGGGCTTCGGTTTGGATAGCATTATCGTTTAAAAATACAAAGGGTAACAACAACCTTGACACATTACGCTGTGCAGATAAACCTATCACACTAAAAGTGTGAACTATCAGAGGCATTGCGTTGCTTTGAACACTTTTGTGTATTAATTTGTACGTAATCACGCATTTTGCGCAAAAAAACGACGAAATATAAGTTGAACTTAGCACGAACGATTGCATTAAAACGGACTTATACATTTAACGTGTAAATTTAAAACGGCCCCAGTTTGTCCACTGGTGACTTGTCTTGTCATAACTGCGGGCGTTAAGGTCTCCACTCCGCCCCCCTCGCCCCCCCCCCCCCCTCCGGCTAGAGCGCCGAGCTCACCTGCTCAGTGAATGGCTGCTTGTGCTCGGTCGCGCGTACACATGACATGAAAGGAGCTTTTGGCGCGAAATTCGAACCTCACGCAACGCGCAACGCCGATCAATAGGCCTGCGGGTTGGGCGGGGGGACAACAAAAAGAAGAAATAATGCGAGAATATTTAGAACGAACTTGCCAGGGGGGAGAGAGAAGGGTGTCGAGAAAGACGGGAATAGAGAGAGAGAGAGATGCGCGGGAACGGAGGGAGGGAAAGGGAGAAGGGTAAAAAAATAAAAATAGGAGACGTGACGTCAGCTGATTGACTGATGAGTAGACCACCCCACGGTAAAGCGTCGACTGGATTTGTAGCGAAAGAGCGGTGAAACACGGCCGTGGAGGGACGCGACTGTGCGTGGTGCCAACGGCATCGTGGGGAAAGTAACGGATTCCGAAAACAAAAATGTAATTGCCGTGATATGGCGATCAATGCACATTTTTTAATGCACTGAACATTACATAAATATTGCGCCAAGAATTGATGCCTATGTACGTTGTGTCCCCCCCCCCCCCTCGAAAATGCAGTTTCGTCCGTTAACATTCATCCGTTACACATCCGGCATTTTGACAATAAGGGCATGATCATTCGTTCTAAATTTTCTGTAAATGTTTCAGTGTATCAATTCTGGACGACGATATTCAAAGAATCAGTACATCCAATGATTACATCCTATATTTACTATTGTGCTCCGTCAATTCAAATGCATACATTGTTTACTATAAATGGAGAGTATGGCGTGTATACTTAAATTAATGTGTACATGTTCATGGGCATGTGCATGGGTATGTTAACATTGATTAACCCTAATAGAAAACGAAGGTCCTATTCTGTCCCTAGTTTGTTCCAAAGTTGTCCCTCAAATTTGTGAGGGACTAGAACGGGATTTCGCTTGTTTTGAAATCCCTCCGAAGTTTCATTTTGGTGAAATCCCTCCGAAGTCCCTTTTCTCTCCGGCCCGCCTTTTGGTGCCGTTTTCAGAAGATAGAGAAGGGGGCTTCCTGGACAATTTTAAGTACGTCAGACGACATCAGATGGGCCGTAGATACACTGCGTGTGCGTATAGGTTCATACTCGACGTAGTTAGAGACAAATACAGTAGGAGCGCTGTAGCGCTTTGCAGTACAGACTGGAGGGTACCCTCGGAGGGACTTCCGCGGGACTTCAGAGGCTGGGATTCTTCCAAATC